TGATTTATGACCACGTTATGTTAAACAAAGAATAAATATTAGACTTCTAGATGTTTTAGTTATTAATTAAATAATGGAAATGTTGAATGTTTATAAATGTGCCATTATAAGAAAAGATTCGAATGATCTCATTGTTATTATTCTTGACTGAGCAACCATATTTTGATACAGATACATCAGGTTGATGAATCGAGTGTCGTGAATCATACTATTAGTCATAATTTGTTTATACTTTATTTCTGGTTAGTTTGATGTTATATTTGTACACTGTCTCAAAACAGCTAATTCAATAAATAAAAACAGTGTAGAGTATTGAAAAGAAACAATCTTGATAATTATATGAGTTTCAATAGTTGAAATCATGAGTCAATTGAAGCTAGACCACCATGGAAAACCTGGAAGCACTAGACGGCCGTTTCATCTTAGTAGATTGGTTGAAGTTAGACATTAACACCGTTGGATGCCGGCTCAGTGGTCCAATGGTTAAGCGCTCGAGCGCGAGACTAATGTGTCATGGGTTCGAATCTCACAGGAGGCAGGCTCGTGGATGAGCGCTGCTGAGGAGTCCCTCGATAGGACGAAACGGCTGTCCAGTGCTTCCAAGTTTTCCATGATGGTCTAGCTTCAATTGACTCATGATTCCAACTATTGAAATTTCCAAAATCTCCACAAAACCAATTCTGATAATTATATAAGTCTTAAATTATAGAATCATGTGTCAAACTCTATAATCTACCTATTTAAATGATTAGTTTGCCTTGAAGTAACCTTGTTTGTTTCTCTTATGGAAAATGTAAACAAAACAAATGATCTCAATATCGAAATGATTATTCTCATTGAAACGAACTATTTAAATGATAACGTTTCTTATCCATCCCATATATTTTTGTGGATTGTGTTTAATTTAGAATTATATAACTGATCAATTTTGAACATTAGAAAATAATTTAAATTGTGAGATACATTCATATTACTCATTTAAGTAGTATAACTATTACTATGATCCATCTATGAGATTTTAACATTAAAATTGATTGACATAAAGCTTTGATTAACTTTCCTTAGAGAAAAATTACGAGAGACGTCAACATTTTGTGTTGTTTCAGTGAATTTAGTCGAACATACTATTTAGAAAAAAAAAGGATGTTTGTTGAATATTTGATCGGAATTTGTTATGTGCTAAATTATTACGTTTGTACTGGTTAAAATCATCTATACAATCATTTTCTCTTCTACCATTGATGATTCAGGATAATATGACTAAAGTGTTTTTTTAAAGGCTGAAGTTGTGCCTGAGTGTATTCTTTACTGTTTTTCAAATTCTTGAATTTCAGTAACATTATAACTTCTAGGTCTATAGTTTTTATCAGAAAGGGCTTTGTGGAGATTTTAGAAATTTCACTGGTTGAAATCATGAGTCAATTGAAGCTAGATGACCATGGAAAACCTGGAAGCACTGGATGGTCGTTTCTTCCTAGTATGGAACTCAGCAGTGCGCATCCATAATCCCGTGGATTGATTGGAGTTATACATTAACACCGTTGGATGCCGGCTCAGTGGTCTATTTGGTTAAGCGCCTGGCGCGAAACTGATAAGTCCTGGATTCGGATGTCGCGTGGTGCGGGATCGTAGATGCGCACTGCTGAAGAGTCCCTTAGTGGGACGAAACGGCCGTTCAGTGCTTTTATGTTTCCCATAGTGATCTACCTTCAATTGACTCATGATTTCAACCAGTGAAATTTCTATAGTTTTTATTAATTCTTTGGAATCGATATGTTCTGAATTTCATCTTTAGGTGTAATGACGGATGCACAGTGAGGCTAGCATTAAAACGACTTTGTTTTTTTTCTTTAACCCGAAAGATAAGTTTTGAAGGCATTTCTATAAATAATAAAAGCATTGGGATTAATTTAAATATCGGTATGGAGTCGTGGAAATTGTTGAATTATTGATTGAGATCATGAATCGATCAGTGTTAGACCACTATTGAAAACCTGTAAGCACTGGGTGGCCTTTCCGCACTGCTGAAGAATATCATTCCATGACGAAACGGTCTTCTAGTGCTTAGAGATTTTTAATGATGGTTTAACATTGATCGATTGATGATCTCAAACAATAATTATTCTAACTGTTATCGAAATATATGACCAGTATGTTTAGGTGTATATTTCCTTTAGTTCAAATGCCTATATAGAGATAGCATGCTAATAAATAAATAATCCTTGGCATAACCACGTTCTTAGCTTGATTGTAAGTGGTGAGAGAATAATGACTAGAGCTCAATGTATTTGAAAAGATTATCATTACACAAATTATTGGATTTTATATCTATCCTCAACAACAACAACAAAAAAATAGTAACTGATTATATCAGTTTTGAATAGTGAGAAGAAGAAGAGATATGAAAATTATTCAATAAAGCAATAACAGGTTTAAATGATACATTTAAACTACAGTTGCATTCATTATATTCTTACAATACAGTGGAGATCTATTCAAAGATAAAACAACTGTTCAATTCATTTTTGTTCTTAATGATTGTTTACTTAAGGTTATTTCATGATAAGAACTATAAATTTTAATAATTTTCACAAATTTCTCATATTAAAAGGTATCATTTGTTTTATAGTATTTACACTTCAATTGATACTTATTCCTTTTCTTTTGTTTCTGATAAATTTTGTTTTTTCTCTAAGTTTGTCCAGCATGGGTTCAATGGGTTTCGCTGATTCTCAGTACTGCCAAGTTGTATCTCCTTATTTCTGTTGCTAGTTGACTAGTCTTCCCGGTGTCCCACATTGTTCGAACGTTTCATGTACCTATAAAAATTGTTGCTTTGATTGTCAAAAGGGACATCGACCTTGTGACTTCCGAAAAAACTCGGCTTACATCATGAGGCATCATAGTTCTTCTAAATAAAGACCTTCTAACTCCCAGGGCAGAGTTTAAATGGTTCGAATTATTTTTTCTGGTTAGCGTTTTTTTAGCGAGTTAGTTTTCTACGGGTTGGGGTCGCTAACGCCTTGCTCAACCCTCTGCCTTTACCCGGGCTTGGAACCGGCAGTAACAGTCTATAGTAAATAATACTGATATCATATCATATCAGTAGTCTGTGGTTACTTGTGAATAATTAATCAATGGTAATATATTTTCGTTTAGCAATTTCTACTGATCATTTCACGCCATTGATCTAAACACTGATATTTTCTTCTATTTATGTTTGTTATTAAAAATGAATGAGTATTATTAAAAAAGGTAATAAGTGGCTGAAAGAATGAAGTTTATTCTTTAATATTAATAAAAACAATAATCACGTATTGTTACATACCATGAAATGTAAACTATTACGTCATAAAATTCGATGTAATGAAAACATGGTTTGTTCTAATTAAAACTGTAATGTCATTGTCGATAAACAATACGACTAAATGTAAAGTCGACAAATCCAATGTTTTTAACATAGTGGATTTAATTTTATTAGAAACGTTCATGGGTATATACCTCTGAGAAATTTCATACTGGTGTTCGATGGCATACATATAGTATGTAAATATAATAATTACTAGGATTTATTTATTTATTTATTTTAACATATGGATATTGGTAGGTATGATGAGGCACCAAATACATATGCGCCACAAAGATCTCATTTCATATGTATGGGGGCTGTGATACTGACCGGGTGCCCAAACCGAAGCAGGCGGTTTGCTTAGGGGGTCACACCCCGAGCCTTCGACCTGAAGGTCTGATCCACAAGGCAGTGGAGCATCGTAAGGAGATGCAGTCCCATGGAAGTCGGTGACCAACGATTGGTTCACACGCCATTTGTTCCCACAGGATACTGGAGCTCATGTGCATCATTGGTTTGGAATCCGGTTTAAGCGCCGGACATTCGCTTTCCGTCCTCCCATTTTCGTAAACAGCACCCCCGCCACGAGAAGGCAGTGAGTAGGACTTCCCTGGCAGAGGCTGAATATGCGTAGCCATGTGAGAGCATTTCTAGAGGGAGAGCGGACTCTCCCCACTCTCGGCCGTACTAGGGCATTTAGGGGTAATTACTAGGATACTTGACTGAATTTATCGATAATAACTAACGGGTTTTGATTCACTACCGATCAAGTGGTATAACACCTTTCATAACGTCTTGTTTTGATTTAATATTCAGTCATGAATGCAAAACGTTTGATAAGCTTCATGTCAGAAAACGACAATGAGTCCGTTCTTTTCGATTTATGATTATGTTCAAATTGTTTTCATGAAATTAATATTAGTAAAATACATATCTGAGAAGCATCATCGATGAACAAGGAGATTCAGATGCAGACGTAAAGGCGAGGACTAAAAAAGCAACGGCCGCATTCCTACAATTGAAGAACATATGGAACTCAAAACAACTTTCAACCAATATCAAAGTGAGAATCTTCAATACGAATGTCAAGGCAGTTCTACTGTATGGAGCTGAAACTTGGAGAACTACAACAACCATCGTCAAGAAGGTGTAAGTATTTATAAATAGTTGTCTACGCAAGACACTCAACATCCATTAGCCGGACACTATCAGCAATAGCCTTTTGTGTGAGACAACAAACCAGTTTCGAACTGAAGAGAAAATTAGGAAAAGATGATGGAAATGGATAGGACATACATTACAGCAATCGTCAAACTGCATCACGAGACAAGCCCTAACTTGGAATCCTGTAGGAAGGCGGAAAAGAGGAAGGCCAAAGAACACATTACGTCGGGAAATAAAAGCAGATATTGAAAGGATGAATAACAACTGGAAGGAGCTGGAAAGGATTGCCCAGTACAGGTTTGGATGGAGAATGCTGGTGAGCGGCCTATGCTCTTTCACAAGGAGTAACAGACGTAAGTAAGTAAGTACTTTCGATTCACTTTATCAACTGCAAAAGTTTATCTTACTGATTATAAATAAACACCAAATAACGTTGAAATTAACGACATCATAATTTAAATTTGAATCGATCAATGACGTAACTTACTAGTTATCTATGGTTAAAATCATTTCAATAATACAATTAAATCCATATGATTATTTTAGTTAGCTATTAGAAGCTAAGTGAATTGGAATTTTACCAACAACAAAAAATGTAACGTGGTAACAATGATGAATAAACAGTGTTGTTTTTTGTTGATAATTATTGATTTGTCCAATTCTTTTCTGTATTGAATAACACCATCTTTTTATAAATAAATAATTGGTAAATATTACATCATTATATATAAAAGGAAACTTATATAATGTGAAATGTATGGTGGAAAATAATTATTGAGTACAATAAATTACTCTAAGTTAATAATCAACAAATAAATTGTGGAAGAATCATTCTAATTGGTTGAATAATTTAACCAATAAAAGAAGACTGTTAAATATATTTCATTATTTCCTCCTTTCTTTTGATTGGTCGGCTTTTTCCATTCATTTAAAAAATAAATACTTGTACTACTGATAGAATTATTATTTGATTAAGCCAATTATGGCATTAATCAATCATAATGTTGAGTTATAAAATATGAATAAATAAGTCTCACGTTATTGTTATGACCTAATATTGTCTGGGTAAAGTCAAAATAGAGATTTGTGGAGATTGTGGTAGTTTTAATAGTTCATTTCATGAGTTGATCTAAACTAGAAACACCTGGTAGAAATGAACAGCCATTTCATCTTAGTATGGGGCTATCCAACAGTTCACATTCACGATGTCATATGTGTGACTCGAACCTGGAACATTTGGTTTCGCGCGCGAACACTAATACTTCATAACAGTAAGAGGTTAAGTGTTCATGTGCGAGACCGAAGGTCCCTAGTTTGAGTCCTACGTTTAGGATTGTAAATACGCCCTGTTGAGTATTCTCATACTACAACGAAACTGCAGTCTAGTGATTTCGGGCTTTAAAAGGTTTTTCTAGCTTAGATCGACTCATGAACTCAACTATTAAAACGTTGCATTGATAATATCAAATGGAAAATACAAAACAATCCAGTGCTCATTTATTTGTAATTATGGTCTAGCAAACACCAGTTTTTAATTTCAAAACAGTAAGCAAAATATTTTCATTTTAGGTGAATTTGAGTGAAAAAATTACTATGTACTGACTGAAGATTTTTTCAACTACAATTTAGCATAAAAACTCAAGATATAATAATCCCCTGGAATATTATTTCACTTAGTCCTGACCATTTATTAAGTGAAATAAATATTACTGATGGAATATAGCTAACTGGCAATCGGTACCGATAGTCCACTGAATCAATTGTAAATGAGAGTCAATAGATTTAGAATTGACAGTTTGTAGAGACTAGTGTAAATGAGAAACATGGATGATGAAAATAAAGAAATATTCCTGAAAGTAAATGATTCTTAAATAACTTTGAGAAACTAAGAGTAATCTATAGTCAGTCATAAAGTAATTACCATGGAGAATCCATAATACTTATGGAAGAAATCAAATATTGTATACTGTTTTTATGTGATATGAAGACTTTTACATATTGTGAATGAGTTCCTCTCTTTTCAAGTGGTTTAAAATCATTTTTCATCTGAATGCTCCATATAACTATGGCTAAGAACTTAATCCCAATTACCACAGCAGTTTAATTTAGTTGTTCATTAGTTTAAAATCGATTCATGACATAAATGATCCTTGCTAAATGAATTAATTTTTCACAATTAATTTCAATGGTTAACTGTTCAGACATTTTATTATGAGGGACAATTTTTCAAGTTTATAGAAACGATGGTTATGTGTACAAACAAGAATTGTCGTAACCTTGAATTCACCTTTGTAATCCTTAAGTCATTATATGTCCTAGGGTAATGCGACAGTTTCTTATTCTATCTAATATAATGTAAATTTTTCTCTCTACATTATGTATACTCATTACATTTTGTACAGGAAGTTGTAAAGATTGTAATATTTTAACAGTTGAATTCATCAGTCGATTGTTCATAAATATAAAACTCATATTGTTCAAATCAACACTGTCTTCTCATTGTTCTATCGACATTACACTGTTAATACTTTATTTCTTTTTTGAAAAAAACACACACTAATTAATGCTTCAATAGTTATCCGTTGTATAACACGTTCCATTATAAATTCAATTTAAATATCCGCCACTTAATTTTCATATTCATCATTCATTTTACAACATTAGATCATTATAAAAATTTAGTTTCTTACATTCATTCATTCATTCATGCAGAATTTCAATTATCCTATGTGTTCGTGATAAAATTCACAAAATGTTCTCTGTTACTAAGTATATTTAACTAAAAAAAGGATACTTTAATAAAAAGAAAGTAGCTTAAACTGCTTTAGGGATAAACAATATTTTAACTAGTAAGGATGACATAATTTAAAGAGGCTTTTTTGATTATTTTTTTTCATTCTTACATTCAAGTCTTTTGTTCATTTTAAAGACTTAAATGTTAAAACTGAGAGGGAAAAATAAAATGAAATTCGAGATTGATAAGTTGCATTAACCTGGAGATTTCATAATCTGTTTTTTTATGCAATTGTTTAATTGATTCGTTTGAGACTGATAATATGACGGTTATTCGTGAACGTCAAACTTATTAAATCAACATGTGCTCACTAGTGACTAGATTTGTGAAGGAATTCTCCGAGTTCTAGTAAGAAGTCATGATCAGAGGAGCTAATCCATGTCGGGTAGAGACAGGTATCTACCTCAGTACAATGGAAGTTGGTCGCACAGTTTTGTGGATTGGTTGATGTTAGACACTATCACCACTGGATGCAGGCTCAATGGTCCAGTAGGTTAAGCGTTCACGCGCGAGACCGAAGGCCCTGAGTTCGAACCCCTCAAGGCGTGGTCGTCGATGCACACTGCTGAGGAGTCCCACAATAGGACAAAACGGCCGTCCATTGCTTCCAGGTTTCCAACGGTGGTCTAGTATCAATCGGTTCATGATCTCAATCATAAACCAAAGCACTTCGAATGAAAGGTTGTTAACAGATAACATGAATGTTTGGTAAAACTAAATACACTTCGATTACATAATCTAACAAATATATGTATATATAACTGTTCACTGTATACTGATCACTTTCAAGTTTATTTGATTCTTTAATACTGATCAAATTCTACTCAATTATCAGTCAAGTTTAAATACAAGCGACTATACAAAATTTCAGTTTCGGCTAGAATAACTCAGTTACAAACTTTCAGGCTGTATAACTATCTGAGGTAGATGTGAATCCACCATGGGTTATGATCTGCTCAGAATTGCAGGTATGGCTTGCAGAGAGGTGCCGAATAGGACGAAACCTAGTCTCAAAAATTCCTGTTCACTACCTAAGATATAAATGTATAAAAACTTAGGGGAGATTAAAAATATGAGTAAACTTTATAGACAATATGGCTTATGGTCAATCGATAGACTACATAAATTATTGAATATTCAATGAATTGAGCAGGTTGAATATCAATCAATCTTTAATTGAAGTTATTCTATTCATAATATGGTTAGTATCTGTTGTCATTTTACCATTCATCAGATTGATAAATGAAGTGATAAATGTGAGAGCATAATTTATAAACGAACCAATTAGATTTAGGATAATAGGTCTTGGATTTAGGTGCGAAATTCATCAATCCATTCGGCTAAATTTAATCCCTTACCCTAACCATCAATTGCAAACTACAATCCTCAGTATGTTAGTGAATATTCTAAAGATCACTTTAGAATCGTCCATAGATCATTATATTACAATCCTATATGTCGGAAACGAGAAAATATAATTTCTTCAAATATATCAGTTTAAAAAGTTTTAAAAGCTACAATTTATTGAAATTTCCTTTTAGTTATGAGGATAATTAATGCTGTATTATGCCGTTTTCACTGCTGGTCGATTTCCAAATGATGATGTTAGTTACAATATTAATGTTTGTCAAAACAAATCTATTTTGAATTTTAGTTTTATTAATACGTTCTTACATATCGTTAAGTTTTATATTTAATCTAGATAAAAATGTACACCTTTTAACTTAATTAAATATGTTGTATACACTGCGTAATCCTTTACAATAGACTACGGTAGCTTTTATTTACAAACGGTTGGGACATTGTTTCTATACAAAACTGGAAGAACTTGAACTTCATAAATTCGAAGAATGACACTTCACACTATAACTGTATTCCCCTATGTGATGAAAGCGAGAAGTTAAGTTCTCAGTAAAAACTTGACACTTAAGAGGACGAAATTATAATGTAACAACACTGTCCATACTAGCAATAAACATGATCTTGAAACATGCAACAAAGCATGTAAAGTAAAATTGAGAACAACAAATCAAATAACAGTGAAGATCACTACAGAAATAAGAGTGGAAGAAAGTGTTATGCCAGATATCTTTACACATCACCGCTACTATAAATTACCAGAAAAGTAGAGAGTTTAGGGTGCACTTAGAAGAATATTTCTATAATTCTGAGTTAGATTTAAGGTAACTAAGTTAATCTCAGTAGTATTATTCAAAAACCTTTTTGCAATTAAGGTTGTAAATAAGTAATGACTTAGTAACTAAAACATTTGATTTTTGAATCAATAGATCACAAGATTAAATACTGATTAGTATACATCACATTTCGAAAGTCTTCACAGAATCCCTATCTGTCACATAAAAAAGTGTACCTATTTCTGTATTTCTTAAACGAATAATATTTGCTGTAGGCCACAGCTGAAGTGTAAAAATTCACAGTTTTGATAAGTAAACATGACCAACCTAATAGACAATGCTATATATTTAAAGCAATTAGTCCCTTTGATAAATTTCGATAATGTTATAAGAAGACGACGATTATCAGAACTATATGATGATGTATTAGCGCAATACATGTCGAACAAACTGATCACACATATACCTGTTAAGAACATTTATATATAAAAATAAAAGGTCAACTAGACTGGAAATGGGGTTAGAGGAGATAAGGATAATAATAAGAGTAATAATGATAATAATAATGTGAACACAATTCGAAACCTAATCACTCTGAATAATAAGTCAATACTACCAGGGTAGGTTCAAGGTAAGATCAAACTGTTTTTGAATACACAAAGGGGGTTTGAATTTTCGTTTGATTTTCATTTTAATTACGACTTTGTAATTTTATCATGATAAATAGTAACTCAATTACTATGATAAATTATGGATCCATGCAATCTAATATTCATTTATTTTCTCATTATTTTAGTTATCAATTAATTAGTTGCTGGGTAACTACTAAGTTGTCGATTACTCGAATTTAACCAGAATAAAATGTATATATATATCAGATGAGGTTTTGCGAATATTATATTAATTTCAATGGTTGAGATCATAAGTCAGTTGAAGCTAGACCATCATAGAAAACCTGGAAGCACTGGACAGCCGTTTCGTCCTATTGTGGGACTATTCAGCAGTGCGCATCCACAACCTCGCCCCCTGCGAGATTCGAACTCAGGACCTACTGGTTTCGCAAGCGAGCACTTAGCCACTAGACCACTGAGCCTGCATCCAACGGTGTTAATGTCTGACTTCAACTAATCCACGAAATCGAGCGACACATCCGCCATTGTCATCAGTGAGTTACTATCTCACAACAGACCTGGTTGAACTCCATTAGTCACTACTTCTCACTAGAACTCCAGGATATACCTCTTGAAGCCAGTCACTAGTGAGCATATGTTGATTATTATCAGATGGGTTTTTGTGGATATTATAAAAATTTCAATGGTTAAGATCATGAGTTAGTTGAAGCTAGACTATCATAGAAAACCTGAAAGCACTGTATGGCCGTTTCGTCCTATTGTGTTGATATAAGTTTTTTTTATAACTTAGTGTTTTGAGTATAAAATCAAATTTTGATTTGATATTTTCTAGGGTTTCTTTTTCTTTTCCATTAATTTGTTTATTTGTCCACTATGTATAATTTGACGAATAGAAAAAGTTGAATTTTAGCTTAATAGTAGAGTATGAAATCGGTAGTTCTTTTATTATTTTTTTAACTTACTAACAGTCCACTTGAACTTATGACAAATAACTACTCATATGTGTAGAGAAAATTAAAGTGTCATTTATAAGAGATGTTATCTAAATAAAGTTGATCAATGTTGAGATGTTGTATTCTCTAAAATAGATAGTTTTGCTGATCAGTTCAAAGATTAGAGATCAACTGAGAAAAAAGAAAGATAACACGATTATGAGAACGAATAAAAGACAACCAATCATGAGTAAAACGATCAGGATGAATCGATAATAACACTTGTAGAATAACCGGAAAGCTTATTTCAATATGAACCAGATGTTGATAATTTCTATTGAAAACGACAATTCAACTAGCTAACACAGATTATACTATACCACTGAAAGCATAAACTTAAGTTGTTGAATTTTCTCTTATATTTCAAAACTCTTTTAAAAGTATCACATACCTATGAAAAATAGTCAATATGTTCTGTAGTGATTATCAGCAGAAACCCAAGATGTACATTATTGTCTTCAATAAGATGTTCTGTGTTCTGAATTAAATATCATTTCTGTAATTTGTTATTGAATTTTATTACAACATTTATTTAACACATAAATGTACACAATACGATGTCATTTGTTTGTTGATTACATATGTAACATTGACTGATAAACGAAAAAAAATAGAAACTTTGGTGAAACTATAATTTATCGACGACCTTTGAGTGACTCTAAAGTGTCCTTGAGAATGTTCACTTACTCACTAGTGATAAATAAGGGTTATAAACCAATGTAAAGTACAAAGATTGGGATTTACAACTGATGGTTAGGGTTAGGAATTAGATTTAATATTTTCATCGCCAACCGATATCAACTAAAATGTCAAAACGCTATTTAGCCGAATTGATGAATGAATTTCTCGTCAAACTCCAAGACATGTTATCTTAAATCTGATTGGTTCGTCTATACATTCTAGCCTCTCTATTCAATCTATACAAGTTAAGAATAACAGAATATAAGTTCAGAATTCATTATTTTTCGATAGTAACCATTTAATAATTAGGGGACTTTATAGTTAATATCACGTACTGATTATAGTCAGATGATGATTAAAATCCAGGAAACATTGAACAATTCTTTCTATTCTATTATGAGAATTACTCAAACATGAACAACTAAAACCCAATAAGGGTTCGAACCCAGTATTTTAGAACCATTCATTCTGTATCCAATACTTTACATATATACATACTTACAATGTCTAAATTCCAGTTCATGGCAATTTTAGAACAGTGTAGAATCTTCATTTTTTTTAAACTCGATTTTCGAACATGTTAGAAACTTATAAAAACTAAGGATTATAGGACAATTATTTTAGATTTCATTATTCTACAAGGTAGAACTGATTAGAATTAAGAAAACACACCTTAATTGTTGTTTTATATGAAAAGATAGAAGACTTAAGTCAAATATCACGCTAATAGACTTGTTTAAATCTCACAATATAATGAATAAAACATATATAATTGGTAGGGGGAAAATTTTTTAGTATCTTTCTAAAAAGGAAATTATGCTATCATATATGATGAATGTTTCCTTCTTACTGAGAAGATTATCAAGGAGACTGTGTCACGGTTCTCGTATGTTTATAAGAAAAAAGCTGAAATAAATCATGCTAATAATGATTCATTGACTAAAAGGTGAGTTTTTGGCGTAAAAGTTGATGGAGTATCAGAGTGAATATCAACTTTATGATGCAGGTACATTTAGTTGATGAGTCTCAAGTAGGACGAAGTACGCATCCTGGATTCTACTGTTCACCATCATCCATCTTGGTATAAGAGTGTCATTACTGTCACATAGAATAATCTCAATTACTATTTAGTGAATCTATTAAAAGATTAAATTCATAGGGACTAGAAATGTTGTATGAAAACGATCCAGAAAGAAATCCACCTATAAGCATTTAGGAAAATTAAACTTTTGTGATGATATTGCTACAGTAGTCAAATCAAATAATAAATACTTAGGATTGTAACGCTAATAATCACGCTTTGATATTGTTAGTTTCAATACTTCTTAAGCTAAATACTTTTGAATGATACAGACTCATGTCTAATTGGCTGAAAGTAGATCCAAAATCAATAGGTTATGTTCAACATCATTTAAGGTAGACTTGATAGTATTGTTGCATCTGATTTCGACTTAATTTGTAACATTTCATATATGCAAGGCTAATGACCTACATTTGATACAAAACCACATCATTAGAAATCATGAAAAACAATAATAAAACTTTCATTTTGTGATCATTAGTTCTGTAACATCAGTTCGGCAGATCAACATAATAAAATTTTATCTTAAAAATCATTAATCAAATCAAAACACATGCTTAATATTTTTCATTCCATTTTGTTCATACCATATGTACACACACACCGTAGTGAAAAGCAGGAATAACTGGATAGCCGTTTTATACTCACCTTAACCTAAAAACAAGACACTAAAGCTTCGTCGTGAGCTCTTGATGTTTAGAGATTTATCTTTTCAATACCCGGTAATGTTGCGAATGTATACTACTAGAGCATTGATTACAAGGGTGAAACAACTCTCCAGTGCTTTTTTGTTTTCAGTGATGACCTAACTATAATAATAAATATTTATTTTAGAATTTATTAATCAAACATCCAACAGAAACTTCAGCTTCCTTCCTTCTTAATTCATTTAACTAATTTTTAAGCAATGTCAATCTATCTTTGGTGTGAACATCTGTGCAAAGTGTTTGTGAAGATTATACCTCAATGAATGACCTTAGTTAGAGATTAGTTGTTATATCGTAGTGAAGATTAAATTACGGGTAACTTTTAAGAACTATTAATGGAGTAATATTATATATATATATATATATATATATATATATATATATATATATATATATATATATATATATATATATATATATATATTCCTATTTTATAACTGTTCAGTAAATAGATTATGCAGATCTATATTCCCCTTATTATAAGCTTCATTTTAACCTATAGATTATTATTATTATACGATTTAATATTCTTAAAATATACTCAGTTTATTGATTACAGTCTCCCACGTTCACAGCTACGTTTCGGCTTGATCTTTTTACAAACGTTATTTCTTATTATATAGTGTGATGCGGTCTGTTTGACTGGCATATAAACCAAGTATGTTTGAAATAAATGATTTGCATAATGGAAGCTATTGACGTTCTGGACTCATTTAGACGGGCTAGGTGAACAAAGGACCAATAAGGATACTAGGCTGCTCATACTGGTCGAATGTCATTGATTTAGCACAGTACTAAGATTGAATAATTCGTGTTTCGATTAGCGAATAATAATCGAAGCTTAAAATACACAACATTAGTTATGAAGAAAAGAATTAAAACAAACTGATAAACTGTGAAATATTACTACATGTAATGTTTAATCTCCACTAACCATAATTTAGTTGATATGTCCTCTGTATTCTTCTAATTACAAGTTTTCATTTGATCTATCAATTGAAACATCATCATTGTATCCTAATTTTGTAATTTAAATGACCTAATTCACAATGTATTAATTTTCTCTCTTCTCTTGTCAACGAATCAGTATTCAAACAGTAGATCATTAGTCAACGAATAGGATGGCTTTATGCATTCAAGGATAATTATTCACAAGATAAACTTATCTATTCATATGTTTTAAGGTTATATTAGGTAGCATGGAGTAAAAAGATAAATTTTCCGAGATATCTAATTTAAGGACCAGTCGGCAGATCAAGATGATTTCAATAACAATAGAAAGCTAAGAAGCATTAAAGAAAAACTTTTTTCTTACAAGTTTTGTTCAATAGTTTAAAAGTTAGGCGCCTATCATGAATCTGATTACTTATGGGATAGAGAATGAGCATTATAGAGGAGTGACACGCTATTATAAAACAGCTTTGTAATGTTTACTGGTTTTAGATGACTGTCCAACGAATATCAATTGATGATTAATACATCTATGTCTGTTATTTTTTTCCCTATCCACCACGAAGTATTTACATTCACTAAGGGGATTATTATCTATGGAAACTATATATTGGTTAAATAGTTAGACTAATTGAAATATTGATCAATAATAATAACAAATTTCATTTAAAAAAAGACAGAAGTAGTTAATAAAAAACTTTCTGTTCAAGAAAAAATAAAAATGAGAAAACTATTCACGTCAATTTTTAACAAGTAAATAAAATTACACTGGTTGAAATCATGAGTCAATTGAAGCTAGACCACCATGGAAAATCTGGAAGCATTGGACGGCCGTTTCGTCCCAGTACTGTACTCTCCAGCAGTGCGCATCCACGATCCTGCACCCCGCGGGATCCGAACCCATGACCTATCAGTCTCGCACCAGGCGCTTAACCAACTAGACCACTGAGCCGGCATCCAATGGTGTTAATGTCTAACTTCAACCAATCCACGGGATCGTGGATGCGCACTGCTGAGGAGCCCTATACTAGAACAAAACGACCATCCAGTGCTTTCAGGTTTTCCATGGTGGTCTATCTTCAATTGACTCATGATTTCAACCAGTGAAATTTCTAAAATCTCCACAAAACCCATTCTGATAAATAAAGTTGATTTAAAATTAGTTTAGTTAAGAAAGCCATGTTCATAATTATAGATAAATTCACTTGTTGTTGTTTACTTGTATCTTCCCATTGTTATTTAAGACTGCAATTGATCAATCCCAGAGTGAACATCAATTTTGAGTTGCAGGTATATCCAGCTGACCAGTAGTCCCAAATAGAATGAAACGCGCGTTCTGGATTTCACTGTTAGCCACTATCCATCATTACTTATAAACCTTGTGACTTCAGGCATTATCGAGGTAATCCGCACAGAATGCACATATGCTAACAAGAGACTGATCAATTGAAGTCCTAAATAACAATTGGAAAACACAATTAAAACAACACCAAGTGAATATAACTTCACCCCATCTCACAAACAGGTGGCTATTGGGGCTTAGTAGCTAGGTGGATAATGCAATAGCGTTTGAAGCGAACGGCTCTGGGTCCTAATGCCAGAGTAAACATCAACTCTGAGATGTAGGTACATCGAGCTGATTTGTCCCAAATAGGACGAATCGCGCGTCCTGGATTCTACTACTGGCTACTATACATCTTTGATTATAGATAATCCTGAACAATAAGATGCCAGTGCATACAGCTGATGAGTCCTAAATAGAATAAAACGATGTAAGATAAAGGTTGAACGTAGTCGATTTGGAACTTTTGGACCTAGATTTCATGTTATTTAACATTCGTTAGCATGGTGTGCCTATAATTTTCAGGGAACTAATACTTTCTGGCGGACCTTGTTACCCCTTGTTCATCTGATTTTCTTTTCCTTTCTGTACTTCTATTTCAACTTTGTTGATTTAAGCATGTAAAATTATGAATTTATAGTCAAACTACCATATATGGATTAAAGCTGTCTGCAACTTATGATAAGCCTTAATGTTGATTGATAAATTCACTATAAAATACAAGCTTTGCTGCTCTTGCTTATGTTTCGTTTGAACTTCGAATCAGTTGTTCGAATTATGTGATTGAATAATGCAAGAACTTTCGTTTTACTATTCTCAAATCATCAATAATTAATTGTGGATCTACTACTCAGTTTCATATCGCAAATGACATGGTTATGTTCAAACTAGTACTTCATATTAGTGGTGATTTGAACATATGTCATTAACATAATGAATTTCGCGTTAGGATAACAATCGTGAACAGATAAAATAGATTACTGATAGATAGTTTATCTATTACGTATTTTCGAGTTTTGACTAGCTGATATGTTAAGGATCTCATTGAACCATTAAGTATTAAGATTTCTCTATTATTTTCAGCTGAAAGTCATTTTGTCACTAAATACAATAAATATCCATGATCCTGTAATCGAAAACTGAACGATTTTATAGCTTACTCAGTAATTAGCAAACCTGATCCCAAGAGTCCAAGAACATAAGAAAATACTAATTCATAACAAGGGAGCTTTCATACTTCGATTTTACTGACGGTCATTAGTTCCTTAATAACATACTCAATATTTATCACTATGGATAATTTTTTTTTATTGGATTCACTGAAAAGTCGAAAATGCTAAATTGAATAAAAACTTATCTAATTCACATTATTTAAAGTTGGTTGATCATAATGAATCCAGTAGCAATAAGCTATTTATCTAAATTGATCATCAACTAATTACTTATCATTTATTCTATCATGATCAGAATTT